TGTCTGTGTGGACACTCCCCTTATTGTGCGTCAGCAGAGACTACAGGTGTCTGTGTGGACACTCCCCTTATTGTGCGTCAGCAGAGACTACAGGTGTCTGTGTGGACACTCCCCTTACTGTGCGTCAGCAGAGACTACAGGTGTCTGTGTGGACACTCCCCTTACTGTGCGTCAGCAGAGGCTACAGGTGTCTGTGTGGACACTCCCCTTACTGTGCGTCAGCAGAGACTACAGGTGTCTGTGTGGACACTCCCCTTATTGTGCGTCAGCAGAGACAGGCTACAGGTGTCTGTGTGGACACTCCCCTTATTGTGCGTCAGCAGAGGCTACAGGTGTCTGTGTGGACACTCCCCTTATTGTGCGTCAGCAGAGACTACAGGTGTCTGTGTGGACACTCCCCTTATTGTGCGTCAGCAGAGACAGGCTACAGGTGTCTGTGTGGACACTCCCCTTATTGTGCGTCAGTAGAGACTACAGGTGTCTGTGTGGACACTCCCCTTATTGTGCGTCAGCAGAGACTACAGGTGTCTGTGTGGACACTCCCCTTATTGTGCGTCAGCAGAGGCTACAGGTGTCTGTGTGGACACTCCCCTTATTGTGCGTCAGCAGAGACTACAGGTGTCTGTGTGGACACTCCCCTTATTGTGCGTCAGCAGAGGCTACAGGTGTCTGTGTGGACACTCCCCTTATTGTGCGTCAGCGAAGACTACAGGTGTCTGTGTGGACACTCCCCTTATTGTGCGTCAGCAGACGCTACAGGTGTCTGTGTGGACACTCCCCTTATTGTGCGTCAGCAGAGACTACAGGTGTCTGTGTGGACACTCCCCTTATTGTGCGTCAGCAGAGACAGGCTACAGGTGTCTGTGTGGACACTCCCCTTACTGTGCGTCAGCAGAGGCTACAGGTGTCTGTGTGGACACTCCCCTTACTGTGCGTCAGCAGAGGCTACAGGTGTCTGTGTGGACACTCCCCTTATTGTGCGTCAGCAGAGACTACAGGTGTCTGTGTGGACACTCCCCTTATTGTGCGTCAGCAGAGGCTACAGGTGTCTGTGTGGACACTCCCCTTATTGTGCGTCAGCAGAGACTACAGGTGTCTGTGTGGACACTCCCCTTATTGTGCGTCAGCAGAGACTACAGGTGTCTGTGTGGACACTCCCCTTATTGTGCGTCAGCAGAGACTACAGGTGTCTGTGTGGACACTCCCCTTATTGTGTGTCAGCAGAAGGCTTGTTTGAGACGAGCTGCGGCTCGCCTCGAAAGTAGACGAGAATAGCCGATCGCAGCCGGGGGAGGTCTCAAAAAACTCGCCTGAAGTCGGACAGCTCGGAGTCGGCTTCTTCTTCTTCTTCTTCTTCTTCTCTCGGTTTTTTGGCGGATTTCAAACAACTTTAAGGTGCATAGCGCCACCTCCGGAGTCGGCTTGACTCGGTTTGCATTTATAAATGCAGCCGGCATCTATTGCACGTCTGTCCGTCCTGGGAGAGGGATCCCTCCTCTGTTGCTCTCCCTGAGGTTTCTCCCATTTCCCCTTTAAACTGTGGGTTTTTCTCTGGAAGTGTTTCCTTGTATGATGTGAAACGTAAGGACAGAGGGTGTCGTATTGTCACACTGATATTCTGTACAAACTGTGAAGTCCACTGAGACAAATGTAACATTTGTGATATTGGGCTATATAAATAAACATTGATTGATTGATTGATAAAGAATGGACAAATGTGTTTAATCGTTAATGTCAGATATGTACTAAGTAAATACATTTGTTCCTGCTCAAGATTAGATTCAACTTTATTGTTATTGCACAGATTACAGGAGACAACAAAATGCAGTTTAGCTTCTAACCAGGAGAGCATAAAGCAGTAAAGTGAAAAGTAATGTACACAATCTACAGAATAAAATATAGAATGAATTGAATGATGAATAAACAGTGAGGGGTATGAATACACTAGATACACAGTAGCCTAGTATTAACAGTGTGTTGTATGAATATGCTAAGATATATAAAGTATGACAACGGTAAGCAGTGCAAGTATAGTATACAAATATATAGATATTAATGTCATGATGATAAACATTGTGGAACAATGATGAAAAATGTGAATGGAAGTGGCGACGTAAAACTGACACAAAACAACAACACACTTTAGCCGAGCCAATGGAGAGTTTCATCTCCAGCACGGGGTGAAACCCACCAATGAGCGCTCAGCTCCAGATACCAGCGAGCCAATGGAGAGTTTCATCTCCAGCACGGGGTGAAACCCACCAATGAGCGCTCAGCTCGAGATACCAGCAAGTCGTTTCCCATCAAGCATTTCGCTTCCGCAGCCCGGGGAGAGAAACTGCGCCGCCTCGCCGCGCCACGCTCTCAAGTCTGCGGGCGTCTTGTCCCGCGAGATTTCAACGTCTCATGTAGGCGAGCCTCCAGAGCAAGTCGGACAAAATGACTAACCATCATGCAACGCACTAGCAAGACGTTGATCGCAATTGCGCAGGTCTGCGCAGGTCTCGCTTGGCTCAAACAAGCCTATTGGCTACAGGTGTCTGTGTGGACACTCCCCTTATTGTGCGTCAGCAGAGACTACAGGTGTCTGTGTGGACACTCCCCTTATTGTGCGTCAGCAGAGGCTACAGGTGTCTGTGTGGACACTCCCCTTACTGTGCGTCAGCAGAGGCTACAGGTGTCTGTGTGGACACTCCCCTTATTGTGCGTCAGCAGAGACTACAGGTGTCTGTGTGGACACTCCCCTTATTGTGCGTCAGCAGAGGCCACAGGTGTCTGTGTGGACACTCCCCTTATTGTGCGTCAGCAGAGACTACAGGTGTCTGTGTGGACACTCCCCCTTATTGTGCGTCAGCAGAGACTACAGGTGTCTGTGTGGACACTCCCCTTATTGTGCGTCAGCAGAGGCTACAGGTGTCTGTGTGGACACTCCCCTTATTGTGCGTCAGCAGAGACTACAGGTGTCTGTGTGGACACTCCCCTTATTGTGCGTCAGCAGAGGCTACAGGTGTCTGTGTGGACACTCCCCTTATTGTGCGTCAGCAGAGGCCACAGGTGTCTGTGTGGACACTCCCCTTATTGTGCGTCAGCAGAGACTACAGGTGTCTGTGTGGACACTCCCCTTATTGTGCGTCAGCAGAGACTACAGGTGTCTGTGTGGACACTCCCCTTATTGTGCGTCAGCAGAGGCTACAGGTGTCTGTGTGGACACTCCCCTTATTGTGCGTCAGCAGAGACTACACGTGTCTTAGGTTCAAGTTAGACGACTAATGTCTGGGTTAGTGTTCATGACTTCATGTTTATGTCCTCTTAATGGTTCATCTCAATGCACACACATTGTCCGTGCTTTCCAATAGTTTAAAATAGTTTTATTCCACTGTTAAATAACCTGTTCAATACAAACATGCCACTTGTCAAAATTAAATAACATTTCTGTGAACTGATATTTGTTTAGTGAGCTTCTTAGAGGATGTTCCCTGAAAGATTGTAAAATGTCAATGAAGAAGTCAGACTTAGTATATTTGTTAATAATTACATACAACAGAGTGAATCTGCGGCCCCCTGGTGGCCAGTACATACATGATGTGGCCCCCTGGTGGCCAGTACATACATGATGTGGCCCCCTGGTGGCCAGTACATACATGATGTGGCCCCCTGGTGGCCAGTACATACATGATGTGGCCCCCTGGTGGCCAGTACATACATGATGTGGCCCCCTGGTGGCCAGTACATACATGATGTGGCCCCCTGGTGGCCAGTACATACATGATGTGGCCCCCCACCACCATACAAGTTGCCCATCCCTGCTCTAGCGTTATCAGTTTGAGCATCCACTTGGTAATCAGCTCTCCTGACCGCTCTCAGGTCTGTCTCTCAGGTACGTCTGTCTCTCAGGTACGTCTGTCTCTCAGGTACGTCTGTCTCTCAGGTACGTCTCTCAGGTACGTCTGTCTCTCAGGTACGTCTCTCAGGTACGTCTGTCTCTCAGGTACGTCTGTCTCTCAGGTACGTCTCTCAGGTACGTCTCTCAGGTACGTCTGTCTCTCAGGTACGTCTCTCAGGTACGTCTCTCAGGTACGTCTCAGGTACGTCTCTCAGGTACGTCTCAGGTACGTCTCAGGTACGTCTCTCAGGTACGTCTGTCTCTCAGGTACGTCTCAGGTACCGTCTCAGGTACCGTCTCTCAGGTACCGTCTCTCAGGTACGTCTCTCAGGTACGTCTGTCTCAGGTACGTCTCTCAGGTACGTCTGTCTCAGGTACGTCTCTCAGGTACGTCTCAGGTACGTCTCAGGTACGTCTGTCTCAGGTACGTCTCTCAGGTACGTCTCTCAGGTACGTCTCAGGTACGTCTCAGGTACGTCTCTCAGGTACGTCTCTCAGGTACGTCTCAGGTACGTCTCTCAGGTACGTCTCTCAGGTACGTCTCTCAGGTAAGGGTCAGTCAGAGCAACTCAAATAAATACAGAACAAAAACCCAACATGGGGGGCGACCCCAACGCAGTCTGTGTCCACCTGCCGAGAAGAAGATCTCTGGCTGATCGTCTCTCAGGTACGTCTCTCAGGTGTCTCTCTCAGGTACGTCTCTCAGGTGTCTCTCTCAGGTTTCAGATCCTGATATATATAAATATTAAAACTAAGGTGAGTTGAGGTCGTTAAGGCAGAGAGACGTTCAGGGTCCTCCAACATTAGGAGGTTCAGAACTTCAGTCCAGGTGGACCAGCAGAGACACCTGTTCATACAGTCTGTCCTCTACTGCCCAGGTGAGGCACTGCAGGTACAGGTGAGGCACTGCAGGTCCAGTTGAGTCCAGGTGAGGCACTGCAGGTCCAGGTGAGTCCAGGTGAGGCACTGCAGGTCCAGGTGAGTCCAGGTGAGGCACTGCAGGTCCAGGTGAGGCACTGCAGGTCCAGGTGAGTCACTGCAGGTGCAGGTAAGTCACTGCAGGTACAGGTGAGTCCAGGTAAGTCACTGCAGGTCCAGGTGAGTCCAGGTAAGTCACTGCAGGTCCAGGTGAGTCACTGCAGGTCCAGGTGAGTCACTGCAGGTCCAGGTGAGTCACTGCAGGTCCAGGTGAGTCACTGCAGGTCCAGGTGAGTCCCCAGGTGAGTCTCTGCTCTCCAGAGGCAGTTTGACGAAGGCGATGGCAGCGAGCTCCTTACAGAACTCCTCGAGGACGATGATTCCTTTCAGCAGCGTCAGGTGCTCCAGTCTGAGGACACATACAGGTACACTCAGGTTAACTCGGGTACACTCAGGTACACTCAGGTACACTCAGGTACACTCAGGTACACTCAGGTACACTCAGGTTAACTCAGGTTAACTCAGGTTAACTCAGGTACACTCAGGTTAACTCAGGTTAACTCAGGTACACTCAGGTACACTCAGGTACACTCAGGTTAACTCAGGTTAACTCAGGTTAACTCAGGTACACTCAGGTACACTCAAGTAAACTCGGGTTAAATCAGGTACACTCAGATTAACTCAGGTTAACTCAGGTACACTCAGGTAAACTCAGGTACACTCAGGTTAAATCAGGTACACTCAGATTAACTCAGGTTAACTCAGGTACACTCAGGTTAACTCGGGTACACTCGGGTTAACTCAAGTACACTCAGGTAAACTCAAGTACACTCAGGTAAACTCAGGTACACTCAGGTACACTCAGGTACACTCAGGTACACTCAGGTACACTCAGGTTAACTCAAGTAAACACGGGTACACTCGGGTACACTCAGGTTAAATCAGGTACACTCAGATTAACTCAGATTAACTCAGGTTAACTCAGGTTAACTCAGGTTAACTCAGGTTAACTCAGGTTAACTCAGGTACACTCAAGTAAACTCGGGTACACTCAGGTACACTCAGGTACACTCAGGTACACTCAGGTACACTCAGGTTAACTCAAGTAAACTCAAGTAAACTCGGGTACACTCGGGTACACTCAGGTACACTCAGGTACACTCAGGTTAACTCAGGTTAACTAAGGTACACTCAGGTAAACTCAGGTTAAATCAGGTACACTCAAGTAAACTCGGGTTAAATCAGGTACACTCAAGTAAACTCGGGTAAACTCGGGTACACTCAGGTACACTCAGGTACACTCAGGTACACTCAGGTTAACTCAGGTTAACTAAGGTACACTCAGGTAAACTCAAGTACACTCAGGTAAACTCAGGTTAAATCAGGTACACTCAAGTAAACTCGGGTAAACTCGGGTACACTCAGGTACACTCAGGTACACTCAGGTAACTCAGGTTAACTAAGGTACACTCAGGTAAACTCAAGTACACTCAGGTAAACTCAGGTTAACTCAGGTACACTCAGGTTAACTCAGGTACACTCAGGTACACTCAGGTTAACTCAGGTTAACTCAGGTTAACTCAGGTAAACTCAGGTTAACCCAGGTTAACTCAAGTAAACTCAAGAACACACAGGTAAACTCAGGTTAACTCAGGTACACTCAGGTTAACTCAAGTAAACTCGGGTACACTCGGGTACACTCAGGTAAACTCAGGTACACTCAGGTTAACTCAGGTACACTCAGGTTAAATCAGGTACACTCAGATTAACTCAGGTACACTCAGGTTAACTCGGGTACACTCGGGTACACTCGGGTTAACTCAAGTACACTCAGGTAAACTCAGGTACACTCAGGTTAAATCAGGTACACTCAGATTAACTCAGGTTAACTCTGGTACACTCAAGTAAACTCGGGTACACTCAGGTTAACTCAAGTAAACTCGGGTACACTCGGGTACACTCGGGTACACTCGGGTACACTCGGGTTAACTCAAGTACACTCAGGTAAACTCAGGTACACTCAGGTTAAATCAGGTACACTCAGATTAACTCAGGTTAACTCTGGTACACTCAGATTAACTCAGGTTAACTCAGGTACACTCAGGTTAACTCGGGTACACTCGGGTTAACTCAAGTACACTCAGGTAAACTCAAGTACACTCAGGTAAACTCAGGTTAAATCAGGTACACTCAAGTAAACTCGGGTACACTCGGGTACACTCAAGTAAACTCGGGTACACTCGGGTACACTCAGGTTAAATCAGATTAACTCAGGTTAACTCAGGTTAACTCAGGTACACTCAGGTACACTCAGGTACACTCAGGTAAACTCAGGTACACTCAGGTTAAATCAGGTACACTCAGATTAACTCAGGTTAACTCAGGTAAACTCGGGTACACTCAGGTTAACTCAAGTAAACTCGGGTACACTCGGGTTCACTCAGGTAAACTCAGGTACACTCAGGTACACTCAGGTTAAATCAGGTACACTCAGATTAACTCAGGTACACTCAGGTTAACTCGGGTACACTCGGGTTAACTCAAGTACACTCAGGTAAACTCAAGTACACTCAGGTAAACTCAGGTTAACTCAGGTACACTCAGGTTAATTCAGGTACACTCAGGTACACTCAGGTTAACTCAGGTTAACGCAGGTTAACTCAAGTAAACTCAAGAACACTCAGGTGAACTCAGGTTAACTCAGGTACACTCAGGTACACTCAGGTTAACTCGGGTACACTCGGGTACACTCGGGTACACTCAGGTAAACTCAGATTAACTCTGGTTAACTCAGGTACACTCAAGTAAACTCGGGTACACTCAGGTACACTCAGGTTAACTCAGGTACACTCAGGTTAACTCAAATACACTCAGGTAAACTCAAGTACACTCAGGTAAACTCAGGTTAACTCAGGTACACTCAGATTAACTCAGGTTAACTCAAGTAAACTCAAGTAAACTCGGGTACACTCGGGTACACTCAAGTAAACTCAAGTAAACTCGGGTACACTCGGGTACACTCAGGTTAACTCAAGTAAACTCGGGTACACTCGGGTACACTCAGGTAAACTCAGGTACACTCAGGTTAAATCAGGTACACTCAGATTAACTCAGGTTAACTCAGGTACACTCAGGTTAACTCAAGTACACTCAGGTAAACTCAAGTACACTCAAGTAAACTCGGGTAAACTCGGGTACACTCAGGTACACTCAGGTACACTCAGGTACACTCAGGTTAAATCAGGTACACTCAGATTAACTCAGGTTAACTCAGGTACACTCAGGTTAACTCGGGTACACTCGGGTTAACTCAAGTACACTCAGGTAAACTCAAGTACACTCAGGTAAACTCAGGTTAACTCAGGTACACTCAGGTTAACTCAGGTACACTCAGGTTAACTCAGGTACACTCAGGTTAACCCAGGTTAACTCAAGTAAACTCAAGAACACTCAGGTAAACTCAGGTTAACTCAGGTACACTCAGGTACACTCAGGTACACTCAGGTTAACTCAAGTAAACTCGGGTACACTCAGGTAAACTCAGGTACACTCAGGTTAAATCAGGTACACTCAGATTAACTCAGGTACACTCAGGTTAACTCGGGTACACTCAGGTACACTCAGGTTAACTCGGGTACACTCGGGTAAACTCAAGTACACTCAGGTAAACTCAAGTACACTCAGGTAAACTCAGGTTAACTCAGGTACACTCAGGTACACTCAGGTTAACTCGGGTACACTCGGGTACACTCGGGTACACTCAGGTTAAATCAGGTACACTCAGATTAACTCAAGTACACTCAGGTAAACTCAAGTACACTCAGGTAAACTCAGGTTAACTCAGGTACACTCAGGTACACTCAGGTTAACTCAAGTACACTCAGGTAAACTCAGGTACACTCAGGTTAAATCAGGTACACTCAGATTAACTCAGGTTAACTCAGGTACACTCAAGTAAACTCGGGTACACTCAGGTACACTCAGGTTAACTCAGGTACACTCAGATTAACTCAAGTACACTCAGGTAAACTCAGGTTAAATCAGGTACACTCAGATTAACTCAGGTTAACTCAGGTACACTCAAGTAAACTCGGGTACACTCAGGTACACTCAGGTTAACTCAGGTACACTCAGGTTAACTCAAGTACACTCAGGTAAACTCAAGTACACTCAGGTAAACTCAGGTTAACTCAGGTACACTCAGATTAACTCAGGTTAACTCAAGTAAACTCAAGTAAACTCGGGTACACTCAAGTAAACTCAAGTAAACTCGGGTACACTCGGGTACACTCAGGTTAACTCAAGTAAACTCGGGTACACTCGGGTACACTCAGGTTAACTCAAGTAAACTCGGGTACACTCAGGTAAACTCAGGTACACTCAGGTTAAATCAGGTACACTCAGATTAACTCAGGTACACTCAGGTTAACTCGGGTACACTCAGGTACACTCAGGTTAACTCGGGTACACTCGGGTTAACTCAAGTACACTCAGGTAAACTCAGGTACACTCAGGTACACTCAGGTTAACTCGGGTACACTCGGGTACACTCGGGTACACTCAGGTTAAATCAGGTACACTCAGATTAACTCAAGTACACTCAGGTAAACTCAAGTACACTCAGGTAAACTCAGGTTAACTCAGGTACACTCAGGTACACTCAGGTTAACTCAAGTACACTCAGGTAAACTCAGGTACACTCAGGTTAAATCAGGTACACTCAGATTAACTCAGGTTAACTCAGGTACACTCAAGTAAACTCGGGTACACTCAGGTACACTCAGGTTAACTCAGGTACACTCAGATTAACTCAAGTACACTCAGGTAAACTCAGGTTAAATCAGGTACACTCAGATTAACTCAGGTTAACTCAGGTACACTCAAGTAAACTCGGGTACACTCAGGTACACTCAGGTTAACTCAGGTACACTCAGGTTAACTCAAGTACACTCAGGTAAACTCAAGTACACTCAGGTAAACTCAGGTTAACTCAGGTACACTCAGATTAACTCAGGTTAACTCAAGTAAACTCAAGTAAACTCGGGTACACTCAAGTAAACTCAAGTAAACTCGGGTACACTCGGGTACACTCAGGTTAACTCAAGTAAACTCGTGTACACTCGGGTTAAATCAGGTACACTCAGATTAACTCAGGTTAACTCAGGTACACTCAGGTTAACTCTGGTACACTCGGGTTAACTCAAGTACACTCAGGTAAACTCAAGTACACTCAAGTAAACTCGGGTACACTCGGGTACACTCAAGTAAACTCAAGTAAACTCGGGTACACTCGGGTACACTCAGGTTAACTCAAGTAAACTCGGGTACACTCGGGTACACTCAGGTAAACTCAGGTACACTCAGGTTAAATCAGGTACACTCAGATTAACTCAGGTTAACTCAGGTACACTCAGGTTAACTCAAGTACACTCAGGTAAACTCAAGTACACTCAAGTAAACTCGGGTAAACTCGGGTACACTCAGGTACACTCAGGTACACTCAGGTACACTCAGGTTAACTCAGGTTAACTCAGGTTAACTCAGGTACACTCAGGTACACTCAGGTACACTCAGGTTAACTCAGGTTAACTCAGGTACACTCAAGTAAACTCGGGTACACTCAGGTAAACTCGGGTACACTCGGGTACACTCAGGTTAACTCAAGTAAACTCGGGTACACTCAGGTAAACTCAGGTACACTCAGGTTAAATCAGGTACACTCAGATTAACTCAGGTTAACTCAGGTACACTCAGGTTAACTCGGGTACACTCGGGTTAACTCAAGTACACTCAGGTAAATTCAGGTTAACTCAGGTACACTCAGGTTAACTCAGGTACACTCAGGTTAACTCAGGTACACTCAGGTTAACCCAGGTTAACTCAAGTAAACTCAAGAACACTCAGGTAAACTCAGGTTAACTCAGGTACACTCAGGTACACTCAGGTACACTCAGGTTAACTCAAGTAAACTCGGGTACACTCAGGTAAACTCAGGTACACTCAGGTTAAATCAGGTACACTCAGATTAACTCAGGTACACTCAGGTTAACTCGGGTACACTCAGGTACACTCAGGTTAACTCGGGTACACTCGGGTTAACTCAAGTACACTCAGGTAAACTCAAGTACACTCAGGTAAACTCAGGTTAACTCAGGTACACTCAGGTACACTCAGGTTAACTCGGGTACACTCGGGTACACTCGGGTACACTCAGGTTAAATCAGGTACACTCAGATTAACTCAAGTACACTCAGGTAAACTCAAGTACACTCAGGTAAACTCAGGTTAACTCAGGTACACTCAGGTACACTCAGGTTAACTCAAGTACACTCAGGTAAACTCAGGTACACTCAGGTTAAATCAGGTACACTCAGATTAACTCAGGTTAACTCAGGTACACTCAAGTAAACTCGGGTACACTCAGGTACACTCAGGTTAACTCAGGTACACTCAGATTAACTCAAGTACACTCAGGTAAACTCAGGTTAAATCAGGTACACTCAGATTAACTCAGGTTAACTCAGGTACACTCAAGTAAACTCGGGTACACTCAGGTACACTCAGGTTAACTCAGGTACACTCAGGTTAACTCAAGTACACTCAGGTAAACTCAAGTACACTCAGGTAAACTCAGGTTAACTCAGGTACACTCAGATTAACTCAGGTTAACTCAAGTAAACTCAAGTAAACTCGGGTACACTCAAGTAAACTCAAGTAAACTCGGGTACACTCGGGTACACTCAGGTTAACTCAAGTAAACTCGGGTACACTCGGGTACACTCAGGTAAACTCAGGTACACTCAGGTTAAATCAGGTACACTCAGATTAACTCAGGTTAACTCAGGTACACTCAGGTTAACTCTGGTACACTCGGGTTAACTCAAGTACACTCAGGTAAACTCAAGTACACTCAAGTAAACTCGGGTAAACTCGGGTACACTCAAGTACACTCAGGTACACTCAGGTACACTCAGGTACACTCAGGTTAACTCAGGTTAACTCAGGTTAACTCAGGTTAACTCAGGTACACTCAGGTACACTCAGGTACACTCAGGTACACTCAGGTTAACTCAGGTTAACTCAGGTACACTCACGTAAACTCGGGTACACTCCGGTACACTCAGGTAAACTCGGGTACACTCAGGTTAACTCAAGTAAACTCGGGTACACTCAGGTAAACTCAGGTACACTCAGGTTAAATCAGGTACACTCAGATTAACTCAGGTTAACTCAGGTACACTCAGGTTAACTCGGGTACACTCGGGTTAACTCAAGTACACTCAGGTAAACTCAGGTTAACTCAGGTACACTCAGGTTAACTCAGGTTAACTCAGGTACACTCAGGTTAACCCAGGTTAACTCAAGTAAACTCAAGAACACTCAGGTAAACTCAGGTTAACTCAGGTACACTCAGGTACACTCAGGTTAACTCAAGTAAACTCGGGTACACTCAGGTAAACTCAGGTACACTCAGGTTAAATCAGGTACACTCAGATTAACTCAGGTACACTCAGGTACACTCAGGTTAACTCGGGTACACTCGGGTTAACTCAAGTACACTCAGGTAAACTCAGGTTAACTCAGGTACACTCAGGTTAACTCAGGTTAACTCAGGTACACTCAGGTTAACCCAGGTTAACTCAAGTAAACTCAAGAACACTCAGGTAAACTCAGGTTAACTCAGGTACACTCAGGTACACTCAGGTTAACTCAAGTAAACTCGGGTACACTCAGGTAAACTCAGGTACACTCAGGTTAAATCAGGTACACTCAGATTAACTCAGGTACACTCAGGTACACTCAGGTTAACTCGGGTACACTCGGGTTAACTCAAGTACACTCAGGTTAACTCAAGTACACTCAGGTACACTCAGGTACACTCAGGTACACTCAGGTTAACTCAAGTACACTCAGGTTAACTCAAGTACACTCAGGTTAAATCAGGTACACTCAGGTACACTCAAGTAAACTCGGGTAAACTCGGGTACACTCAGGTTAAATCAGGTACACTCAGGTTAACTCAAGTAAACTCGGGTACACTCGGGTACACTCAGGTAAACTCAGGTTAAATCAGGTACACTCAGGTTAAATCAGGTACACTCAGATTAACTCAGGTACACTCAGGTTAACTCTGGTACACTCGGGTTAACTCAAGTACACTCAGGTAAACTCAAGTACACTCAAGTAAACTCGGGTAAACTCGGGTACACTCAAGTACACTCAGGTACACTCAGGTACACTCAGGTTAACTCAGGTTAACTCAGGTTAACTCAGGTTAACTCAGGTACACTCAGGTACACTCAGGTACACTCAGGTTAACTCAGGTTAACTCAAGTAAACTCGGGTACACTCCGGTACACTCCGGTACACTCAGGTAAACTCGGGTACACTCAGGTTAACTCAAGTAAACTCGGGTACACTCAGGTAAACTCAGGTACACTCAGGTTAAATCAGGTACACTCAGATTAACTCAGGTTAACTCAGGTACACTCAGGTTAACTCGGGTACACTCGGGTTAACTCAAGTACACTCAGGTAAACTCAAGTACACTCAGGTAAACTCAGGTTAACTCAGGTACACTCAGGTTAACTCAGGTACACTCAGGTTAACCCAGGTTAACTCAAGTAAACTCAAGAACACTCAGGTAAACTCAGGTTAACTCAGGTACACTCAGGTACACTCAGGTTAACTCAAGTAAACTCGGGTACACTCAGGTAAACTCAGGTACACTCAGGTTAAATCAGGTACACTCAGATTAACTCAGGTACACTCAGGTACACTCAGGTTAACTCGGGTACACTCGGGTTAACTCAAGTACACTCAGGTTAACTCAAGTACACTCAGGTACACTCAGGTACACTCAGGTACACTCAGGTTAACTCAAGTACACTCAGGTTAACTCAAGTACACTCAGGTTAAATCAGGTACACTCAGGTACACTCAAGTAAACTCGGGTAAACTCGGGTACACTCAGGTAAACTCAGGTTAAATCAGGTACACTCAGATTAACTCAGGTTAACTCAGGTACACTCAGGTTAACTCAAGTAAACTCGGGTACACTCGGGTACACTCAGGTAAACTCAGGTTAAATCAGGTACACTCAGATTAACTCAGGTTAACTCAGGTACACTCAGGTTAACTCGGGTACACTCGGGTTAACTCAAGTACACTCAGGTAAACTCAAGTACACTCAGGTACACTCAGGTACACTCAGGTAAACTCAGGTTAACTCAGGTACACTCAGGTACACTCAGGTTAACTCAGGTAAACTCAGGTTAACCCAGGTTAACTCAAGTAAACTCGGGTACACTCGGGTACACTCGGGTTAACTCAAGTACACTCAAGTACACTCAGGTAAACTCAGGTTAACCCAGGTAAAGGTAGTTACCCTGTGTTGGGGGTCAGTCCCAGCAGGTGTCTCCTGGTGTCCAACAGTCTGTCTGTCAGGTTAGAGACCGGCTGGATCCTCTGCATCAACTCCCCCATCAACTAAGATAGGCAGACAGACAGACAGACAGGCAGACAGACAGACAGACAGACATACAGACAGACAGGCAGACAGATAGGCAGACAGGCAGACAGGCAGGCAGACAGACAGACAGGCAGACAGACAGACAGACAGACAGACAGAGAGACATACAGACAGACAGGCAGACAGACAGACAGGCAGACAGGCAGGCAGACAGACAGACAGACAGACAGACAGACAGACAGACAGACAGACAGATAGACAGGCAGACAGGCAGGCAGACAGACAGACAGACACACAGACAGGCAGACAGACAGACAGACAGACAGACAGATAGGCAGACAGACAGACAGGCAGACAGACAGACAGACAGACAGACAGACAGACAGACAGACAGACAGACAGAGAGACATACAGACAGACAGGCAGACATACAGACAGACAGGCAGACAGACAGGCAGACAGACAGACAGACAGGCAGACATACAGACAGACAGACAGACAGACAGGCAGACAGGCAGGCAGACAGACAGACAGACAGACAGACAGACAGACAGACAGACAGACAGACAGGCAGACAGACAGACAGATAGACAGGCAGACAGGCAGACAGGCAGACAGACAGACAGGCAGACAGATAGGCAGACAGACAGACAGACAGGCAGATAGACAGACAGACAGACAGACAGAGAATTATACATTATGTACTACCTCAGACATCACAGTTTTACAA